GCCGATGAAAACTATTGTGAAAACTATTCTGATTAAATCACTATAATTTCAAAGATTTGCCATTACTGAATTTATTTTAATTTTAACAAATTTATCAAGGGGGTAACAAGCTAATTTCAAATAAAGTCCAGTTTAAGAAGTTCTTCTCCATTTTGACTGAAGTCCATTTCACACACTGGAGCTTTAATATGAGGAACATTGCTGTAACAAATCAACACAATGTCTGCTGTCTCTGTGAAGATATGTGGCTATCAATTGAAGTATCTGTATTTCACTTCAAGCCTACGGTCTCCTATCATCTTTCAGCAGCTTTAAAGTTTTTTGCAGCCAATATTTCACAGGCTGACATGTGTCACCTGTAATGGAAAGACAACATAATCAACTGAAKTGAGGGTGTTTCAGTGAGAAATGAGTCCTGTATCAGTTAACTTGTCAAAGAGTGTGCCCTTCTAGAATCAGCCGTCACTCAACCTACCGATTTACAAAAACACTGCAGGAACCATCAAATGTGATGGAAAGGTTTGTGTTTAAAATAGCTGTGGAATTTATTGTTAGCGTTACGAAGCCTATCATGWGTGAGAATCTGCTGTATTTTATTGTAACGTATTCTAAAATATCATATTCTTAAATCAGAAAAACTCAAAAATAATGTAAAATAATGTGTGTTGCATCACATTTGATGGCTTAATCTGGTTCAATTCATTTCTGTTTAGTTTATTTATATAGCGCCAAGTAATATTATCTTGGGGCACTGTACAAAAAAAAGAAAAGAAAAGAAAAAGAACAACAATTAATCTATGGAAGCCAGCAGATTGTATTGAATAAATCAAAATCAATTATGGATAAAAGTATTGATCCCTAACAGACAACAGGAGATGTGCAATCTGAATTGAAACTGGTCAAATTCACATACTGCCTCCAGTATTTATGGGGTTCAAAAACAGCAAATGAAAGGACCTAGAAGAGAACGATGTGACGCCACATATCCGCAAAAATATTCCAAAGATTAAAATGATGCTTCAGAAGTTCTGCTGCAATGACTTAAGTGTGAATTGAAATGATTCCTTTAGAATAGTCACAATAAACTGATTACTGATATAAATAAATATAAAGAATTATCTTTTATATAAAATCTAAATAATTATATATATATATTTTTTTTTTCAGTTAAAACAGACATGTTTATGTGTTTTACCACAAGATGGCAGCCTAGTGCAACGGTGATGCCACATCAAACAGTAAACGGCTTCCAGGTGCCATATTTTACTCTAAGTTTTAAATACAGACATAACTCCTGCTGTTTGATACTAATAATTGTATATAATTACCATAAATTATAAATAAATTTACTTCAGGGATAATATTTAAACTCTAAAAATTAGCAGTCCCTCTATAACACCAATAATTATACATATGAAAAGATGAAAACAACGGAGCTGTCAGATTTGATAGGAATAAAAATGAGTCCTAGTTTTTCTAAAATTTTGCTTTTGTAAATGTTTTCTTGTCCTGATTCAAGCAAAKAATCTATGGTAAGGTGGTAATAAACATGTTAGCATCACTGGGGTAAAGAAAAAGCTTTGTCTTTACCACACACTCTCAGTCTTCTTCATTAAATCCATGTTTTACAGCCTTAATGTACAGCTGTGATTTACATTAGTGTGGGAGACATCATGASATACTTGTATAAGTGAAATAAACAGGAGGCTGAGAACAGAGAAGTGGGAAACTTGGTGGAATAATTTGCATTCACAAAACAAGAGTGGGAAGCTGCAGGAGGTTAATTTGAGATATGTTCTGAGTTACATAAACTACTGTTTGAACTGCTCAACATTCCTAATTTCTACTGTGTTGCCCCCAGGTGTTTGTTTTAATAAGTGTCCAAAACCATTAGTAATGTTAAGGACTAATAGGTTACTGAAAAAAGGCCTAAAGAGATTTAACTGAGCATAAAAGCATTGTGAAGACAGAACTACTTTCCTGTAGCAAAGTTTTACAAGCTCCACAAGTTTCACTCATACCATCTACTGACAGCCAAACTAAAAGCAGAACTGAACCACCTCCGTCTAAACATTAAACCATTCACCTGAGATTGTTTAAGTTTGCTGCCAAGTCTGTGACAGTTCTAGCCTTTTGCCTTCTCAGTGGAGTGCTGAGCTTCAGTAAACACTGACCTCTCCACTCCCACGGTTGAGCAGTCTGGCCTGAGCCTCCATCCTTCCCAGCCTCCTCCACACTCCCCTCGGGCATCAGGTCATGACCGAAAGGAGCATCTCTCCTCTCTCTCTCTCTCTCCCTCACAGCCCACCCTGTCTGCCCCCTGCCCCCTCTATCTGTGGGAGCATGAGTAATTCTGTCTTTAAAGCGCTGCTCATAAGAAGTTACTGGAACAACGTGGATGCTTGGATTAATCACACAGCGACACAGATGCCTACAAGTATGTAAGGACTGTAAGAAATGGTAAGACAGGCACGAAAACAAAAGCAAACATAGATTACAACACTTTAAAATGACGTGCTAGCTTTACAGTTTTGAAATGATTGTTATTTTTGTGTTAAAATGTGAAAATGACGTGAATGGCAGCACAAATGAGAAGAGAATGAGGTCGGGTTAAAACAGCTGTTCTGTTAACACCGTATTTACATTGTTATCCAAACAGAGGAGTCGTTACTGGAACGTCTGTTTTTTTCTGGAGCTATCGAGGAGAAAATATTTGAAGGGAATTTTTTTTGCTCGGCATTCACGGTCCTCGCTGACCCCATGTTTATATTCCTAAATGCTCTCGGATTTCTGTGGCACTCAGTATTATGCAGATTCTGATGACTGTGGCACAACTTGAAGACATTTTTTGAAGTATTGACTCCTCATTTTGAGACAATATTTAGACAATAAGCTCCAGAGGGTGGTGTTAAAATCTGGCGATTTCTCACTGAGCTTTAATAGCCTGACGAAAGGATCTCTGCAGCCTTGAGACGAAGCAGACAGTCACGTAAGAGGTGCCACTTTGTTCTCATCTCCTCCAGCTTCCCATTGCTCTGCTGTGCCAAAGACGAGGCAAGCCGAGCCTCCTCCAAAAAAGGCAAAAACATTCAGGAGCGCACATCCTTAACCCAGTTCATCCTGTCCCCATCGCAGGTCTGCACAACAAAGAACAGACTGGCTGAATGTGTTCTTCAGAGGGTCTGTGTTTTAACAGGGAGCTTCGGTCAAAGCACTGAGGATGCAGCTCAGATGACAGACTTCCACTCAACACACTGTACCCGAAAAGTGTTTACAGAAGGCTTTCGCTGCAATGCACATCTTATCCATGATGGATGATGATGATCAAAGTTGAGCTCATTTTACTGCCAGGTTTTTACAAAAATATTCTTAATGGTCCAAGAAAAAAAAAAACACAACAAAAGAAAAAAAAATGTTGCCAATAGGATAAAAGGGCAGGTAACAAGTATATCCCCAAAGTTTTTCCATCTGCAAACATAAATAGAAGTTCGAATAAATTAAAAACTTTAGTCCCATTCTTACCTGGCGAACGAGGCTGTTGGTTGTCGTGTCAGAGGAAGTGCTGCCGTCCGAACCTGTAAACCGACTCTTTCTCCGAACCCCTTTGCCATGAGACTTCAAAGCCAAACAAGACACAAAAAAACTGTTAGAGATGCCGCCACATTTTTCTAGTTTATCTTTGATCTAAATTTATGTATAGATCTTATTTTGTCACCCTGAATATCAACCAGTTTTATGTGAAATGTGAAGCATAAAAGGCAGTTAGCTAACTCGCTGTTACGACCAGACCATCCTGCATGTTTTGCTTGTTTCCCTGCTTCAGTGACTGAATTACCTCTTCAGTTTTTACAGATGTTCAATGATCACCCATTCATTCAAATCAGAGAAACCTCTAAAACATGCAGGATAGTGGTCCTCGAGGACTGAAYGCCTCTGCTTTAGACTATGTTTCCTTGATAAACGGGACCTCAACACTAAAAGACTAACACAGTTTGACAAAGCGCAATGGCTGCAGAGCTAAAGTAAAAACAAGTGAAACTGTTAGGAGGGTTAAATCAGTACGCAGGTGCTGTTTTATGTAACATACACAAAACATCAATCTCACTGTTAATTAAATTAATAGGTTTTTTTAGGTGTTGCATTCTTGAGGTATTACCTGATGATAGTAATTATGTGGGAGGTCTACTTTGCCCAGCAGTATAATGAGGGGTCGGAAAAGTAGCCTAATGTACACGAGCTCACACAGCCAATGTTGTCAATGGCAACTGAAAAAACAGAAATACATGTCCAATCTGCCTGCGATCCCAGCCCACACCCCTGGGACATGTTAAATATGCATAAAAACAAGAGCACACTGGAGCTCATCATGTAGACCAGTCTGCCATGAAGACTTAAYACAAACTAACAATAAACACAAACAAAAATGAAAGAATAATACAAGTGTTTAATTTTTAATACAATACTTATTGTTCAAAAATAGTTAATATTGATTAATCGTTGGATTTAGTTTACCTGACAAAAATAAAAATACTTAAAGTTCAAACAAGCAAACATTACATAAACATTTTTTTAATTATGTAAATTGTAAATCACTTTTTTGCTGTTAATTTGACCTAGTTAGCTTTTGGATTTTCACCCAAATCAATGAATGTAAAGCCAATAGGTTTTTGCTCACGTTTTGACTTAATATTTGTTTTTTCATTGAGCAAATGACTTCATGATTCCTGACAGAAATATTGAAGCAAGGTATTTAGTTCGTTTGGCTTTAGTTTATTTTAAAGTTTTTATAACTACTCAATACACACCTGTTTRAAACTGAAACCAAACTGGTTCCAACCTGACGATAAATATCAAGATATTAAGACCTTACCTCCACCGACACAGATTATTATATATAAAAACKTAACTGCTGCGACGTCGTTTCTCATAATAAACAGCCCTCAAACGTCCAAAAACTACAAGCACGCGACCTTCTCGTGTCGCGCAGCTTAATTACGTAAGCAGAATCTAATTAACCACCAATGGGCGCGCGGAGAGTGTACAGGTGAGCTGGTAATTTGTTTGCTAACTTTCAAGAAATAAGGATAACGGCAGTTAAGTTGACTTTAATGCAAAAAAAAAGGGTTAATATTTTCACTTTAATGTTCGAAGCAGAAATAGAAGCGAACTTACTTCTGTTACGGTCTCCATGTTTGTGAAGTCACTGCTTTAGTCCGCTCAGGTTGTTCACCAACATCAGTCGACACAATTGTTTGGTTTGGACAGAAACCGCAGTTTTGGCCGAGATAAAAAAGAAAGTAAAGCGCATGATTACAGGGCAGTGATGACAGCAGACATCTCCGGGCATCGGCAGAAGAAAAGTCGTGCAGAGTCTGCGCGAAAGACTTTTACGATTTTCTTTTTATTTTTTTATTTTTTCCAAATTCCGATGATGGTGATGATGATGTGAGTCCTGGTTTTATTATAGCCCTTCAGCATCACTGAGCCTCCTCAGTTCGCTCCTTCCCACACGGGCTGACAGAGCTCCTGCTCCATGCTGCTCCCCCTGATCCAACGCCTCCTCACACCATCAAAGGATGGAAATGATCAGCATCCCAGCAAAGATGGAAAAGATTATGGTTTTAAGTAGAAAGTTTTGGGCAGATGATAACAATTCTCCTCTTTGTGGGATGGTTTAGTTAACATTACCCAACATAAAGTTTATCTAGACACCTTTCYTACAAAGTTAGGCATTTTTATTTGACCTTATGCACATAAACTCATAAGATTATTATTTTTTTTATTATGCACTCATTGCAAACTTTGAAACCAAACATGAAGCAAGTAATATGGAACTGTCACAGGGCACAGTTTGAATACTTTTGGTGTGAAATTCTGGCCCAAACTCAATGTAAACAAAGCACTGATGTAGGCTGATGTATACAACCTTAAGTAAACTTTCTTTAATGTTGAAGTGTGATTTTTTTTTTTCCCCCCTTCATGGTTGGAGGTGTGTAGACTGGTTAAGATGAAGACAGAGACTAAGCTAATGCCGTTAAAAGGAAAATGAATATTGTTTAAATATTTTTCTGTAAACATTCAGGGGAAAAAACACATTTTTTTCTTCAGTGATTCCCTGTCTTCATGTCTGAGTGTGATCACTTTGAGTGTTGTTTTCACGATGTAAGTCTCATGAGCAGGTCCTGTTTCTAGRTCGGTTCAGGCTCTTCCTGTCCTCCTTCCTCCTGTCTGCCAGCTGTTTGGTAAGATCCACTGGTGCACTGATATAATCACACYATAAGGCAATTTTCTGAACATGCTGTTATTAACCTTCAATAAGGATTTTAACCTGATTAGATGTGGTTCGAGCAGCATGTTCTTGTCACATTAATAATTTATCTGGTCATCATTCTGCCTTAGTTTTGAATGTGGCCGTATTCCTTGTGTTTTAAGGCACTAAAAGATGTTTTACTGTTTTATTTTTAGTGAAGCATTAGTTAAGAACAGGCTCACATTTGTTAAAACACACWCACACCCACTGGTTCATTTTTTGTTGGGTTTGGGGGATGTATTATGTAGGTTAAGACATAGAAAGTATTTTGTTTCGTTGTCGTTCATGGCTGCTGAAGAGCTTCAACTTTTTCCTGCCCTGAAGTTTTACTGTTTGTCGTTGCCCTCTGGTGGCTTTATGTGTACTTGCATTTTGCAGGCACTAAACTACATAACCCTGACTGGTCTACTGTCTGATATTGCACTAATGAGAAATATGAGAATTCTGTCTGCAGAAGCTTCTCTTAAAGCCTGACACACAAAAATTGTCACGTTGATTTGAAGAAACTTGAGCAGATGACCAAAAAGAACAAACAAACTGGTGTTTCAATCATGTAGGATTTTACCAAAAACAGAGGTTTAATTGCAGGATTATATACATACATACATACATACATACATACATACATACATAC